TGCGTAAATCTTGATTCAACCTAACATTCCTCAGTTTTAGACCAACGAATGTTCTGTTTCAGTGTACTCTTTCTAAACAACCATATCATCCTTGATTTTGTTAATTTTTGAAAATAAACAATAAAGAAAACAGATTTTCCTCCCAATAGAGTAAACCCTAGATCACTTTTGTAGTATGTACTTTTCAGGAATCTGCTTTCTTATTTAATTTGTTGTGAAAGACTTATTTTCTTTATAGCTATGGTCTTTTCTCACTTGTGAACGGTTTACGATGTAACATCAGAAGGACGCAGTGTTAAGGCTGCTGTTGTATTTCTCCCTTGAGTTCCTAGAGGTGATGTTATCTTTTGTTCACTCAGCAATATGGTCATTTCTAAGAGCATCTGTCACTTGAGGCCTTGTAAGATAGATGAGTCTCAAGTGAACTGCTGGTTGAAACAAATGGTGGAAATAAGGAAAGACAAGGGGGCAGGAGGCTTTCAAAGAGGGCAGAGACCAACAGTTAGAAAGGCAGTCCTTACAGGAAAAAAAGCTTCTTCAAGATGAATTACACGCTGCTCTGGTTGGATTTTAGGATTCTCCAATGGATATAATCATCAGACCCAGTTAACTGAAATGATGGTAAACAGAAAAATCTCATTTGCACTTTTGAGTTTTGTTGCCATTGGAATAATCAGGACTGCAAAAAGCTATCTTGTTTTGTTATGTTTCATCATATCATGGGTTGCCTTTTGGGGTCATGTTGATTGAGCAGAGTGTTTTTCATTTTGTGGTTTGTATGTATGATGTACATTTGGGGTATACTTCAAACTGTATACAAAAATAAGATAGAGAACTGTAGTGTGCTATGCTGGAATTGGTATATGATTGCCATTCTTAAAATGCTTTTTGTAGTGTGCTGTTTTGTTTAATACAAAGCTTTATCAGATTGTGTCATTAGTTCACAGCTTAAAATAGCAAACATCTTGGAGTTACTCAGTATCCATTGTATCAACACAAAAAAGCTCAATAATTTCTTAGTTTGGCTGATTGTATTTGGCATATTTTAATGAATAATAGATTGAAAATAAATTATTAAAAGCTAGAACTTTTCTGGTAAGAAAACTGAATGTATATCTCACTTTCAGACTGCATGTATAGATTTATTATTACACACAAGAGAGAGAGATTCCCCTTACTTTTGGGAAGCTTGAGGAAGTGTCAAAACTGTGTACTTGCAAAATGATTTTGTCAATTTGCTTGCTGTGTCACTTCACGCAGAGGGAACCAGGAGTGGAAAAGGCAAAGAAATTAAGATGATTAGAAGCTTTGCTTTAAAGCTTCCCAAATGGTAGAGTAGCTCCCCCTTCAATGGATGTAAATAATAGATGAAAGATTGAGAATGACAACAAAGGATCAGGGTGCTTAAGCGAATGTGTGCAGCCTGAATAGAGGTCTGTGGCCCAGGGCAAAAGGTCTTAGCTTTGAGCATAATTGGAAGAAAATACAAAGATGTCATTACTAGCAGGTGAAATGTTCAGCACGTGGCCCCGAAAATAGCAATTTCAGCCCTGGTGCTGTTGGAATTGGATTATGGACGTTAAAAATAATCATAATGAAAGCATTTGCCGGGTCAGGAGCAATGTAGCTTGACTCTAATGACCATAAGTGATTGTTTTAAAAGCTGGAGGTGTGGAAAGTGATACAGCTTAGAGGGAGTTAGAGAATGAGGAGAGCTACAAATCAGGGCAATGAAGAATACTTGGTTGGCTTGGCTCTAGACTGGCTAGATGCTGCATTATAATGATAGATGTCTTCCTTGCTCTGCTTGAATTCTTCAGCATTTTTGGAAGTTGCGGGACATGGTCAGAGATTAACTTCACTATTGTGCTATTTTGTGGTTGAAATGGGAAGTACATTGTATCAAAGTTAAGTCTTTAGAGTTTATCTTTTAAATATATATATTCCTAAACCTACCCTGCAAGGCTTGAATTAATGGAGTAACCATTTCAAGGTCATGGTCCAGGGCCAGTAGCTGCTTTGTAAGACAAAAGGTTCATGTAGAAGGAAATGTGCTCAGACCCTTGGAGGCTGCAGCTATACAATACTTGATTTAGACGTTCCCAGCTGTCTCAACCCTGAACACATGTTAGGAGGAAGGGTAAGTAGAATTACATGGCTCCTTATTGTTCAGTCACAAAACTTCAGCAGTTCAGACCAAGTGACAACCAGTTACAAGTAGTGTGACCGCATTATAAGCTGAATCTTCCTATGCTGCTGTCACTCAGAACGGTTGGTCAAGCTTGGCACATTGTATTGTTGCAGTCTACAAAATTGTTTCTTTATGAGGTTAAGAGCCAGTGTAGAGTAGTGGTTGAGTATTGGATGCTAGGACATTGGGTTTCAAATCACAACTTAGCTATGGAAACCTAGTAAGTGACCTTAGGCAAGCCACACTCTCTAAGGGTGCATCTGCAGTAGTATTAATGCAGTTCGGCACCACTTTAACCGCCATGGGTCCGTGCTATGGAATAATGGGACTTGTGGTTTTACAAGACCTTCTCTGCCAAATAATGCTGGTGCCTCATCAAACTACAGTTGTCACAGCATGGCAGTTAAAGTGGTGTCAGACTGCATTGATTCTACAGTGTAGATCAGGCATGGACAAGCTTCGGCCCTCCAGGTGTTTTGGAGTTCAACTCCCATAATTCCTAACAGCCTCAGGCCCCTTCTTAATTAAGCAGCTGAGGGAGGAAAGGATAGGGCCTGGGGCTGTTAGGAATTGTGGGAGTTAAAGTCTAAAACACCAGAAGGGCCAAAGTTTGCCCATGCCTGGTGTAGATACACCCTCAGAATAAGAGGAAGGCAATGATAAACACTTCAGAACAAGCCTTGCCAAGAAAATCCCAGGATAGGTTCATCTTAAGGTCTCCATAAATCAGAATTGACTTATAGGTACATAAAAATAACCATGTGGTCAAAGCCGCAGTGTTTTTCAGTAACCACATAATTGATGACTATCTGAATATTTCTCTTTAATGTTTTCCTATGCCACAATATAATGTATGAAAACTGGTTGTAATAGATTTTTTTTTCTGTATTATTAATTCTCTGGTGCAATAAACTTACCTTCCTGCATCCAGATTTTAATTTCTGGGTTCTCGTGTTCTAAAACAGAATGTTCTCTTTAAAAAAACAGTGTTTCTTTTGGATGTCATTTCTGGCATTGTTGGTGACTGTTGTTTTACCATAAATACTATGTAAACATTATGTTACGTTATGTTTCATTGTAATATAAATATTTTATGTTAATTTGAATGTATTTATGCAAGGTGTTGGCTGAGAAAACTCATTTAACGATGTATACATTTCAGCTTTTGCTTTTCTCATCTGAACGTGCACATGCATTCAGATGCATTTTCATGTTGTTAATGGCTTTAAAAAGTTGAAGTAATAGACTTTACTAAATGCAATGGCATATTTATAAAGCAACATTAGCAAGCTTACATCTAGCTTGTTATTTATTTTAAGCTGTCTTAAATCCCTATATTGAGAGAAAGGTGGGATAAAATAAAAATAAAGGGAATATAGTTAATTAATACAATATTTAATTTTCTTAAATTTAGTGACTATTACTACTAAGGGTTGAATAAATGGGGCTTTCATAAGTGTCGACCAAGGTTACATCTACACTCTAGAATTAATGCAGTTGGACATCATTTTAACTACCATCACTCAATGCCATGGAATAGTAGTTGTAGTAATTTTACAAGGTGTTAGCCTTTCCCCTTCTGCCAATGGTTGCTGGTGCCTCATCAAACCACAACTCCTAGGATACTATAGCTTTGAACTGTTGCAGTTAAAGTGGTGTCAAGTCACATTAATTCTACAGTGTAGGTGCACCTATTAAAGAGTTCATAATGTGTCTAGTTGAGGCTAACAAGTGATTTTCTCTCTCTCAAGCTCTTACTATCCACTTTATGAACTTCCTAGCTACAGTAGATGGCAAATCTGTACAATTAAGTTCTTCCATTCTGCTATGTATAGGGAATGTGCCAAGTATGTATTTTCTTAGCAATACTTTTTCAGCATTTGGAGTTATCCGTCCCAGTGTCAGACCAATTGACATAAAGGAATATCCATATGGTAGTCACTTGAAACCCAAGTGGGGTGGAGTGTGCTCCACATGGTGTGCTAGTGGTGTGGGGATTTGCATGAGTTTTCGGACGCAGCTTATTTTGGAGACCACTCTTTGTTTTGTTTGTCTGTGTCATTTTTTGTGTCTTTTCAAACTATCCTCAGGATTTTTGATCTAAAATTCTTTGGATGCATAGGACCTTTTTGTTTACGAGTCTGAAACACTATGTATCTTATTCAGAGTGCAGCCCAGCAAATTATAGAGTCTGTGTAACACTAATGCAAGGAAAATTGTATTGTAGTCTTACGCTGGTTTACTCAGTAGTAGATTCTGCTGCGTGCAGTGGGAATCTCTCAAAGGGTGGGGTGGGGGAAATGCAACTGCAGCCTGAACATGTAATTAGACATGGAAGAATGTGTAATTAGGCACAGATAGATTTGCAATGCAAATTCCTATGTGATTTTTATAAGGAGGCTCTAAATTGTGAATTGGTATACATAATCCCGGTGGCGCAGTGGGTTAAAACATTGAGCTGTTGAACTTGAGGACCGAAAGCTCACTGATTTGAATCCAGGGAGCGGGGTGAGCTCCTGCTGTTAGCACCAGCTTCTGCTGACCTAGCAGTTTGAAAACATGCAAATGTGAGTAGATCAATAGGTACCGCTCTGGCGGAAAGGTAACGGCACTCCAAACAGTCATGCTGACCACATGTCCTTAGAGGCGTATATGGACAATGCTGGCTCTTCGGCTTAGAAATGGAGATGAGCACCAAACCCCAGAGTCGGACACGACTGGACTTAATGTCAGGGAAAAACCTTTACCTTTACCTACACATAATCTACCAGGATCCTCAATTATTTTAAATCATTTTGTTTTGCTACAGGTCTTCAACGCTTTCAGCCATCTGGATCCAGTGGCAGAACAACCGAGAGCAACCGTCCATCATGAAAGCATTTAAAAAACGTTGAAAGAAATACAAGAAGGTATCTCTGCTTTTTCCCCTACCTTCATGATGCAGCTTGAATAATTATGCTTTTGTGCACCAACTTGATTTCCAGTTGTAGTGGAAGCAGGAATATATTTCATTTCACCTCCTAATGGAGACATTTTCCTCAGATGTAAAGATGTTTTTTCACCGCAGTTGTCCTTGGCAGTGATTTCTGCTTGAATATCAAACACTTATGTTTGTATGTGTCTATGAAATTAGCATCATCATAATGTTATAGTTTATATCTTTGTAGATCAGCATTCCATTCCTAACAACAAGCGTCTCATGGTGCTTTTGAGGTTAACAATTTGAACATGCTGTTCCTAGTCACTTATATGCTGCTGGCACAGTTAATGATTGGAACCAATGATTAATTTGCTCAAGAAACCCTTTGAATACACCAAAGGACAGGGAGTCAACAAAACCCTCTTTGTGATAATTTTAAAATAAAAACCTTTTTAAAGCATAGAAAAACTCATTATTTTCATCTGATGTTTCAAGCCTTGTAGATAGACGGCAGTACAAATGAAACTTGTGTATTTATGGGGATGTAGTGTAATAGGATTAAGTATAAATGTTTTCCCTATTATTGGTCTGTTGTAAGTACTGTACAATTTGCTTTTAACATTTACATATTCATTATTAGAAATGTTTATTTTCTTCCTTCCTAAGTAAAAAATCCTTTCAAAACACAACAACACAGTGGTCCCTTGGTATACACTGGTGTTTGGTTCCACAACACCACATGGATCGTAAAACTTCTGGATGTGCAAGTCCCATTATATGCAGTGCTGTAGTAAAATAGTGTCCCTTATATATAGCAGATCACAGCTTGATTGAATTTAAATTGGTGTTTTTATATGTGCATGTGTCTTAATTTATTGTATTTTATATTGTGTTCACTTTTATGTTTGTTTTTAGGCACTTTGTGCCATCTGTAAGCTACCCCGAGTCTCTTTGGGAAGATGATGGCGGTATATGAAAATAATGTTGTTGTTGTTGTTGTTGTTGTTGTTGTTGTTGTTGTTGTTATTATATCAAAATAATTGGGAATATTTTCAATCCATGAATACAGAATCTGTGAATATGGAGAGATGACTGTATCTTATCAACATTGCTGATGAGTGGTGTTTTAGAGGCTGGGTGCCACAACTGACAATGACTACCTTCCTATTAACCATGCCTAAAGGGTGGTCCAATGGTGTAATATTTATGCAAGAATGTGCAAGACAAGGCTGCCCTTTAAGTACCACATACATTCATGTATAAATCAACCTCCTGTATCAGTTGAAGGCAGGTTTGGAGAGGGGCAAATTATGGATTTTGATCTGTGCCACGGATAAGTTAAGAGTCATTCTATGGAGAAGGGAAAGCACCAAGAGCAACTCAGGGAGTAGCTGCTCCTTGACGCCAATTCCCTGCCCAAATATTCAAGAGTCAGAAACAGGATGGATGAAACTCTTACCTTTTGCCACTCTGGTAAGAGAAAGGAGAGGTTCCTTTTTATATATGAAGTACAGCTCTCACATTGACTTGAAGATAAGTCAACTCAGATTTTTTTTGGGTGATTTTACTAAAATTTCTAGGCTTGTACTATATAGGGTATATTCAATTCAAATGGCAACCAGAAGCTAGTTTTCAGTTGATGCATTGAAACAGATAAACAATCAAGAAAGCTCCGCACTTCACACTTTAGCAACTGGTTTCTGCATTATCTGTAGTTTCTAGGCTGTTTTCAGGTTTAGCTATATGTGACGGATGGCATAGTATAGTGGGCTTTCCATATCTATGGATTCTGCATCCATGACTTGAAAATATGTTTCTAATATTCAGAAAGCAACCTTGATTTTTGCCATTTTATACAAGTGAAACCATTTTAGTATGCTATTTTATATCATGGGACTTGAACATACATGGATTTTGGTGTCCACAGGGGGTCCTGGAATCAAATCCTGATTGATCCTAAGATCCAACTGTAATATATTCTTGATGCCTGTGAAAGTTGTGGTGCATAGTTGGTCCACTTGCTGGAAGTGGGTCAAAGCATTCCCATTCAGTGCCATCACGTGAAGAAGCAGTAGTACCGCCACTGGATCCATGTGTACTTGGGAATAAACCTGCTCTTCCCAGTAGAACAGGTTTAGAAGGGGTTGGCCTATGCCACCAAAGTAGCAAGACTTCCAACAATGAACACTTTTGTTGGGACTAAATTTCAGTTTATTCCCCCACAACCAATTGGTTGCAAATGTAAAACAATGATTAAGAAGTTAGAAATTAATTAGGTATTTGGTGTTGAATTTGAAAGTTAATATTTTCAGATTTTCCTGTTTGAAAAACAGACATAAGAATAATATAGTAGTATGTCTCTTAGAAATATTTTTGAATCTTGATGCGAATAGTGCTTGGGAGTTTCCTTTCAAATGTACACATTTGTTATCACAATCTGTGTGTCAGATTTCAATACAATTAATGAAAATGAGATAGTTTAGAATTTTTGACAGAACTGTAAAATATTTGATCTTTGCTTTGATAAAAGAAAAAGAAGGGGAAAGTGTGGAATGGATATTATTTCAGTAATAAGAGGGAAAATAACTTGTGGGGCGATTGGGAAGTGACCTTTTCCCCTTTTCTTCGCTATGGGTCAGTTAAAGAAGCATGGCTTACTTTATATGGTGGATCGGAGTCCTATTGTTTGTATCTGTACTTAAATGCCACAGTATTTCCAGGAGGCCAAAGATCTATTCCTCTTTTATGACTTGCTGTATCCTCAGGGGCCGGAGGCCCAATGGGGCATTCAGGCCCGATAGAACAAGAGGGTCATTGCCATCGACCAGGTCCTAATTGCCGCTTCTTAGTTACCACACAGACACCAAACCAGCTTTCAAGAAGATTTGAGATGGAAACATCTGGAGAGTCCTTGAAGTCATGGGTTTGGGGTTAAGGGTGGGGGTTGCTCCTTGCATTTTGTTTCACCAGGTGCTAGGAGGAAGCAACATTAGCCTTTTTGATATGGGAGGCAAGTTCTGTGGCTCCCCAGTTAGGTTATAACAATCGGAAAGGTCAAAGGACAGCTGAGTGGGGTCAATGAGACACCATGGGGTGTATTTTGTTACTTAGTAAGAGAAGCCACATCCTAAAACCTTAAAGGGCTCTCTTGTAATCCAGGTTGTGAAAAGGTTTTATGAGCCTGATGGCAAAAAAAGTGCTGGTCTAGGAATGAGGAATGCATCCTTTTGTCTAAATTAAAAGATGATCCCTAGCAAATGTTTGAGGCTTTGGCAGCTTGGTCAATGTAGGACTGGAAGGCATAGTTACAGAAGCAGAGGATGATGGACAGTTACTCTTACTTCCTAATTTTGTTTTCCAGATTGTTCTCCTTATACCCCCCCCCCCCCCATCCTTATAAGCCATGGGACACTCCACAGTCTTGTTTAAGAGCTTGAAAGTCAATTTATTTTAGTAAAAGAGTTCAGCATATGCTTGTCCCTCATCTATTAAAATGAATAGGACTTAACAGTTCTTGGCTTTGGCTAGATTGTGCTTTCCTTGAGTTGAATTTGGGGGGGGGGGGAGAGAGAGAGAGAGAGAGAACCACAATTTCTAAAAAAAAACTAAAACTGCTTTTGTTTCTCAATATGCTTTCCATTTGCTACCATTACATTTTTCTTCCATTCAGAAGTGTTGAAATTTTGTGCATGTGTGTGAAAGAAAGAGAGTCCTATTCTCTCTTTTTAAAATTAATGAGCTTCTCGTGCTTATTGGTGTGTGTCTCATATGGGAAATTCCTATACAACATTTTCAAGAGGTCCTAAAGAATTGTGAGGGCAGAGAGAAATAGAAAGGTTTCTTTTTGTGAAGGGACGGTACACATATAGTCTATAATACTTTAGGTCATGGCTAACAGTCTTGAGTCATCCTAATTTTTCTTACCTGTGTCATTTTGCACAAATAACCCATCTCACCAGAAAATAATAACGTATCAAGAATAACAGTGGTGGATTTGAAAAGTAGCCACATTTGTTTTTCTTATTGGAAGAAGTAAGAAATGTTTGTTTCTGCTTGTGTTACAAGACCTCTTTGTGAGCCATGGTTAGGCAAAGAACTTGGAATTGTGGGAGGTTTATGCCATGCTTTTCCTCAGTTGGGTAACAATGCAAGGAAATCATGCATCTCCTGTATCTTTCTCCTCTCTCTCCTCTACCCTCTCTTGTTATGCTTGAGTTCCTGGAATAAAATTGAGAAAATATGTGTATGCACTAATTTGCTAATCATGGGCTTTTTTGGGATTTTTCTACGGCACCTATACTAACCAATTTTTAAAATAAATATTGACTAGAGGTATATAGATTCACTTCCACTCCTGTTCTTGAGTCATCTGTAGTCTGGGCTGTGGAAGATAAGTTTCTTAGTTGCTACATCTCTTGTATCTTCATTGCTTGCTCCCTTCTTGATCACTCACTAACAAAAGGACTCGTTTGGATGCTGGGGTCACAACCAGCTCATGGAAATGACCATGGAGCTTTTTCTAAGACTCATAGGATTTCCAGGTTGAAAATCTGGAAAGACCTCTGTATCTTTAATAGTTGCTCAGAAGAGGGAATTTCAGCAGATGTTGCTTGTCATATAGCCAGGTAACAAGCAACATCTGCCGAGATTCCCTCTCTACTCTGGCAAACCTAGTATAGGCAGTCCCTGGGTTACAAACGTCCGACTCATAGTAACAAATGGGGGTGAGACAACAGGAAGTGAGAGAAATTATCCCTAGGAAAGGAAATTCACCCCTGAAAGAATTACTATGGGGAAAAGGGGTCTCCACTGAAGTTTTATCATCCAAACTTGTTACTACAGCAAGTCACATTTTTCAAAATCCCAATTCTCACAGGGATAGAAAGTGAAATAACAGCTTCTGAAAAGAGTCACAGACAGCAAAACAAACACCATAGTGGTAGCTAATCCTACCCTATACTATACAAAGCATGTGTGTGTGTGTGTGTG